AGATAGAGGGGCACAGACTGCAGAAGGGTGGAACAGAATGTCACGTTATATGTGTGTTTGTATGAAATAGTTACTAACTAATAATAGTTAATAATGAAAATAGTTCATAACTAAGGAACATTTTATTGCAAAAGTCCAACTTTATAATCAAATATAAATACACATATATGAAAACAAAAAACTAAATGCTCTCTGGTATTGTTCTGGGGGCCGGACCAAATGGTCGTAGTTTGGGGACCACTGCTTTAAGGGTTCAATAAAACATCCTGTTCCYAGAAATCTTGTGTAGTAAACCTTCACTTGTGCCATTATCGGATGTTTTGCTTCTTTCCAGTCAAAAATTCTCATTTTATTTATTTTTTCAGCTGTTTTTGGACTGACCTTTTTWCCAGAGTAAAATCCCAGTAAAAACATTAACATCTGTGGTTGTAACGTGACAAAATGAGGCAAAATTTGTGCTTTTTTCAAGCCAGTACTGTTTGATTTGTTCACTTTTCTTTCATTTGAAAACTTTTGAGATCAAGATGCAACATAAATGAGTGAAGTGACTGATTTACACAGCAGTGAGAAAGTGTCTGATCACTTTTAAAAGGTGAAACAAAAAAGGCCCGGAAGTAAAAACTGGACCGAAACAAAAACAGAAATGTTTACTGGGAACATGAAACTCAGTAAAAGTGCACCAGTTGCTTCAGAATCGAACAGGAAGGGGTCAGGATGTTAGTGAACTGTTTTTAATGAAATCAGTTTTGTTCTGATTGGAAAAGGAGCTGGAGGAGAACCATGCGTACAAAAACCCGAACAGGAGAAATCAAAAATGCAAATCTGTTAATGTGTCTGCAGGTGGAGCTTGTTGCTCAGCTGAAATGAAGCAGAGTCTGGATTTAAAGCAAACCAGGAAACCATGCAGAAGAAAAAAAGGGTCACTACACAGTTGGAACAGGAATCACCCAAAGACACGGCAGTGGAGGGGGAAGAGAGTGGGGGTTAGTGATGCCAGACTGTTCCCAAAGGATAAAAGAAGGCATGCTTAGAGCTCAAGCCCCTCTACCTTCAGCTCTTTAAGCCCTTGCATGTACCGCCCCTCTACATCCTGAATCTGGTCCTTTAGTTCATAGATATCCTGTAGAGGAGATGGAGGGAATGGTTGGGGTGAACTGGACACAGCAGGGGTGGCAAAGGACAGATAAAAGCACCCGTGCGGTCGTCCTTGAGACGGTCCGGRAGATGGACACGTAGGACACATGTCACATCCGGTCCTCCCATGCATACAGAGCGAAAATGGTTAAAGCGAACACAGAGAACAGCAGGGAGGGCGGCAGAGGCAACGCTTGGAGGAATGTGGGTTTGGATTMAAACGTAGAGGTGTTTATCAATGTCTCAGATGACGTACCTTAAGTTCGTTCAGACTGGTGTCTGGGTCATAGATGCTACCAGCGTCTGCGCTTCCTCGCCGTGACGAGGTGCCGCCCAGAGATGCCAGGGTGGCAGCCGAGAGCCCCGGGGTGGCACAGCGGGAGGACGGCTGAAGGAAACAAACAAGAGCCTCAATAAGAAAACCCACAACAAAACATTTTATCTAAAAGTTATACAACTCTTAAAAGAATAGTCAGGACAATAAATGAGGTCATGTTGAAGAATTAAGAATTATTTTTACCTAATCTGTACACATGCAGATGGAACTTTAGAGAAAAGCTTAAGGTTGGCAGGAAAGTTTGTGGCTGATCTGAACAAACACTTGTGTTACCTTTTACAGTGGTTCAAACGCCATTTTATAAATAAAAGCATCTAGACTCAGAGGGGCCTACGGGTGTCTAGACTCAGAGAGGGTGATGGGCGTCAGGAATTGGGGGTTACTGTCTAGAGTCTAGACAGTAACCTCCAATTTTGGTTTGGTCAGACCAAGACAGTTTGATCTAGAGTCTAGACCAAAGGGTTACTGGCGTCTACACCAAAGGGTTACTGGCGTCTACACCAAATGGTTACTGGCGTCTACACCAAAGGGTTACTGGCGTCTACACCAAAGGGTTACTGGCGTCTACACCAAAGGGTTACTGG